AAGCTCCAGCAGTCACAGTGGGTGCCCATCCTCTCCAGTTAGTGCAGTCTGCCAAACTCCTGGGTGTTACCAAAGACCACAAACTGGACTGGAAGGCCCACGTAAACAACACAATCAAGGCAGCCTCGTACCGACTCTACATGCTACGACGACTCAGGTCACTTGGGACACCCACGCCAGAGTTGAGGACTATCTACAACGCCTTTAATCTCCTCAAATTAACGTATGCGTCACCAGCCAGGTCGTCTTCTCTCAATTCTACCCAACAACGCCAGCTTGAGAAGGTACAGAAAAGGGCCTGCAGAATCATGCTCGGCGCAGACTACTCCAGCTACAACAACGCTCTCTCCACCCTGGAAATGCCATCCCTCAGTGACCTCCACCACCAAGCACTAGCAAGGTTTGGCAGTGGACTACTGCACCACCCTCGTCATCGCCACCTCCTGCCGCCGGCAGTCCCCCGCCCACCTCGTGCAGTCTGCCACTACAACAAAATTCAGCCCATAAGAGCCCGCACTGATAGATATATGAATAGCACCATCCCATCTATTGTTAAAATGATAAACAACTCCTGATTTATGTACTGTACAGCCCTCTAAATGTATTGAACGCACATCATTATGTCTAAATCACATGTAAGTTTGTATATTTTCAGCCACCGGCTGCAACTCTATTAATAAACCGTTTATTATTATTATTATTATTATTATTATTATTATTACACACACACGCACACATACTTCATAGGGTAAGGACGTGTGTAGTCGGCGCTGCCCGCTAACGCGGCCTTGGTCTCTTGACCATGGAGACAGCTGCCAGCCCGGTCTGTCGGGCTCTCCCCTTCCCCATCTCCTCCTTCCCATCTGGATTTATCAACAACCTCACACCAACAGTACAGTGCAAAGATTGACGATTAACCCACAAGTGATATACAAAAGTGGCAATTTTAACTCGAAGGAAAAGCTCAAAAACACAGCAATACTGATTGTGGCTGGATCTGACCTAACCTGACCTCACGGCTTCACCTGACCTAACCTGAAGGATGGAGCACACCTGCATTGCCCCAAGCTACTGTCCTGGCCACACACCTGCCCAACCGCATCCAGCCCATAGGAGCACGAACTGATTGCTACAAGAACAGCCCAGTCCCAACCATTGTAAAAAATATCAACACCTAATTATTATGTCATATTTGTATCACTTATGTTACTTGTACATCATTTGTAAATCAAGAGACCCATTCCCCAATTATGTAATTGTATATTTTCAGCCTTCCGGCTGCCATGCTCTTTCAATAAACCGTTAATTATTATTATTATTATTATGATATATAGCTTGAGTATCATACGAAAAGCTTCAAGTAATGAATACATTGAAGACTCTTGATATATGAGCTCTGTTCACCTACTTCTTATGGTGTTCATTCGAAACCAATTTCCCTGTTGTATTTTGATATTCGAATGGATACTCCTATCACTACAGTTTTCTTCTCTCGTCAGTAGGATATTCATATCAATATCCTTCCCATCTCCTTTTGATTAGTATTCGTTTGACTCACACTGCTCCTTTGCCAATTCTACTGTGTGTGTTGGTAGGAGGTTCGGTGCAGTAACCTGTCGTCCACGAAGGGTACAACAGGCTATGCACCCTTCACCGTCAGTTTACCACGAACTTCTGAACGGAACTGTACTTTAATGGTGAAATATTATACAGAAAACTTGCCAAAAATATGTATAAACAAACTAACTAAAGTGGAACAGTTACGCAAAGCAAGAAATATTATCATACATACAGCACATGACCGAGGCTCATCAAGTGTCGCAGTCCAGTGGTTCTCGGTCACATCTCTGTTATCTATCAATATATTTCATGTTAATTCTTCGAGTAATACTTTAAAATAGTCAAAGTTGGATAGTAATCGATGACGTTTGAGGTATTGCTAACAAGAGAGGTTACAGAGGTTGATGGTACCTCATTCATCTGTGAGTTACCTATTCTAATTATATGGCAGGTCATTCAGGCTATTGGTTTAGTGATATCAGGTAAACAATCACGTCACTCTTCTATCAAGGACATAGTTAATGATCATTAATATCTTAGTTCAATCTACTTATATTCAGTGAAATAATGAATGTTATTATTTCTTTAGGATTTATTTAAAATGTTTTCTATTTTCCTTTTCCAATCACCTTTTTTGTATGTCATTTAGTGCTATCAACAGGGAGGTGTTAAGCAGGATATACACCACCTCACCGTGGCTACCAACTATTCTGGCAGGATATACCATCTCGCTAGGGCTACCAACTATTCTGGTAGGATATACACCATCTCACCAGGGATACCAACTGTTCTGGCAGGATACACCACCTCGACAGGGCTACCAACTGTTCTGGAAGCGGAAGGTAAGTCTGTAGGTGGACAGAGTGTAATGATCCACACGGAGATAATGTCTTGCACACACACACACACACACGCCCATGAACACATGCAAACATAAATAAACAAAAACTGAAAAACAAGTAGACATGAACTCCCACAAACATAACAAAAATACTCATAAACTAGCACGAGAACACACAAGGATACGTGAATATAAACACACACACTGATAAACAAACAAGAGTACGAACACGTCAACACATTTGTAGTGATAAAGATATGAGAAGATAAACTGTGTAATGTGTGGTGCCGCTAACTATAGGGAGATAGTATATTGGGTATAATCTTGACGGACAGACAAACACACACACAGGCAGACAGATTGCGAGAGAGAGAGAGAGAGAGAGAGAGTAATGAAATTAAGGGATCAAATAATAATTATCACTGACTTGATTACAACATCACGGGGTCGAGGCGAACTTGATTATCTTTTATCTGGGGGAGAAATATACGACTGTTGGAGAGATATATATATATACAGATATATATATAGAGAGAGAGAGAGAGGAAAAAGAAACCAAAGAAATAATTTACCACGAGGAAAAAGTCGAAACATATCCTCAAGATTTAACAATAATCCTTGCTTAACCTGCCTCTCTTTTTCTCACATAAGGGACGTGATAACAACATATGTACTGTACAAAGATGACTTTCCTATCAATCAATACTTCCTGAACAAAGAAGAACCTCACTGGCACCTTTAATAAAGAGACCAGGTAAAGGTAGGGAGACAGAGCAATGATTGTGAGGAAGCCAGCCAGGTGAGTGTTGTGAGGGAGCAGCAGCAGTAGTGGCACCTTGATGGCCAACAGTCACTCTCCCGGGAAAAGTTACAGACACGAGGCGCAATTTGACAGACGACACGTATATGGGAATGGTGTGTCTTTCCAAGTTATCTATTCACCTCATTTATCCTTTTTTTTTTACCTAAGCTTATCGAAGACTTAAGGTCATTGATCTATTGCCGATGAAGGAAATGTTTTTAACTCGTGTTATATAGCGACATTGGCAAAGAGACTTTCTGGGGTTACTTTACTGGGTGGATTCCCCAATAATATAGTTGACGACAATGACTCTGGGTGATCAGGTGTAGCCAGGTGTAATCATGCCTATCACCTGCTAAACACCTGGTCTGTAGTCATTGTAAATATTTTGTAATCGTAAAGTAAATTGGAAGTCCAGGTGTTACTGTGATTACTGTCTATTTAATCAGTTTACAGGTTAGACCCCAGAGTCCCAGGTGCAAACTAAGCTCACTTTGTCGACTAGATTTATGTTATATAATTCTGTACGTGTGCGGTTCCTTTTGGTTGCTCTTTACTGTTGCAATTTCCTCTTGCTGTCTATTAGCTAATGGGTTATTTGTCTTGAAATGTGGAGCAAAGTGATTATTGTATGCAATAATTTATATTATGGGTTTCGTGGGGTTAATGAAGTACCCAACTTTAAAAATATATATATGATAATAAGAGTAAAAGTTTGTTTACTCTCAGTTTTAAATTACAATCAGTCATTGAACATATGAAGGAGAAATATTGCATATTTTTTGATACAGACAGTCACGTCGGCTAGATGCCGTACAACATTAATGTTTAGAACAGTACAAAGGAAGAGAGTATACTGAAGGTATACTGTAGTCCGCCTACCACACAAGTGTTGCTGAGAGCCACACTGCCTCACCTGGCAAGATTGAAGACTTGCCAAGTACTGTATAATGATTGGTAGGCTTCTTTTTTTATTCGTTTGTTTGTCGTTCATCTTTCTGTTCGCACGTTAGCAGTCAGAATTTTATTTTTATCTTCATAAGAATATCATAGCTCGTCAGCCTAGATCTAGATTAGGTAAAATCCTATTTGGCCAATTTCGTACAAAGGTCAAGATCAGAGGTCACAGATTAAGGTCACCGCACACCAGGAAGTGTCTACTATCGATAACTAATCGTTACGAAATATTCACAGCTGAAAGGGATGACCTTATCAACAATAACAATCCAATATTTACGAAAGCGTCCAGCTTGGCTGTCTGAGGCCTACAAAAGTCACTCCACTAGTTTGGCTGAACTAAACAAGAACCAAGGTCACGTCATTGACGAGATTCCACAGTTAAGGAAACGACCACACTGAGAATTTGACAAGAATTTCTTTACGAGCGTCGCTTTATTTGACTGTCTGTCTTGTACGCTCTATAGGAAGTACCATTAGGACTATGACGTCCAAGTTTGGTAAGTATCTCCTCTTAGGATGGGCCGAGGACACGTCTGTCTGTCTGTATGTCTGTTTATCTGATTGTATGTCATTCAGAGACCTCCTGAAGTAGATTGATCCTTTGGCACCGACCATTAGCGTCCGTGGGGGTCAGGTCACTATATTTTACACAGTGGTTGTGAATATTACTGTGATGAGTGTCACTTTCATTATTATTACTATCACCAACGTTACAACATAATTAAAAATAATAGTTTTCACGTATGAACTGGGCGCGGAAAGTAATAGTTGGCATCTTTCCCAAGGCGGGTTTGGTCTCTCGTACGCAGTGATCCCCGCATCAGTTGCCTCACGCAGGGTGTCCGGGGAGGGTGTTTCTCTCTCGTCTGGCAAGACTATTCTATGGCTACTACCTGTTTTACAAAATAGTGTTCATAAAAGGAAAGTTCAAGATATTTAGTGGTAGATCAATACCGTGTATAATTTACTGGTATTTTGTGAACTACAATTGGTTTCCAATAGAATTATCTCATAAGAAAAACACAATCACTCGAATTTGAGAATCCTTGGAAATATATATTAACTATAAAGATTGTCAGCGGAACTAATATTCCATACAAGACATTAGGATCACTTTCAGCCGTCGGCGGTGCTGATCAACACACACCGTGTAAGGTAAGTCTACATCACTGCGTCAATAAAATAAAAATTTCTGAAGCATAAAAGATGAACCAGTGCATCTACCAGTTGATGTAAACAGAAACACGACCAATAACCATGTTTCCCCTTGCTAAACTTGACCTACATTATATAAACAAACAGGGCATCAAAATGCCTTGCTTAACCATTATACAGGCACAGGTCAAGCACTCTCTCAGCCAAGTTTATTCACTTAATATAAACCTGAGTTATTGCAACGTATAAACACACATTAAATAACACTACTAACTATCATTGACTTAATAGTTTTTGAAGTAGGAAATAAGGGCACATGCAGGCACCTCACTTTGTTACTATAAATTATACTAACACACTGTCAACTGAAATAAGTTACATAAACGAGATAAATACTTTAGATAAACCCCAACCATAGGACCAGTATTTATCAAGAGAAGAAAGACGTAATCTACATAATATAAACACAACTGAGGTATATAATTTCCTAACAGAATCAACATCTTTACAGAGACAAAATAACTATGGTTGACTTCTTCACCGGGACCTTCATAATGTAAACACATTAAATTTATAAACAGGGCCGACATCATTCTACAAAATACGGACCCAAAAAATAACTCAATTTCAGACGTATAAAACTGGACTTGAAGACCATCTTGAGACATGATGCACCCAAGTGGCACGGCGGAAGTTAGTGAGCTTTAAAAAAAAGGAGGGTCTTCACTTGCTGGAATAATACACTCCCAGACTCTTGGTTATAAGATGAAGCAGAGGAGGAGGAAGAGAAGAGGATGAGGAAGAGGAGGAGGAGCCTGGTGAAAAACATCCTCGTGTGGAATTTAGCGTTTTTGTTAAGAATTTACCGCGTCTTTGATGGCCGCCGCCTACACCTGGCTTCAAAAGACTAAGGAAAGTCTCGGGTGTTTTTGTTGACGATGGTGGTGGTGTGTTTAGCGCCGGGCGTCAAGGGATCCTATTAATCTTTAACCAGGAGAGGAAGAGGGAGTGGTGGAGTGGTCTCAGTGTTGGCTCCAGCGATCACTAAGGATGAGGAGAGATGGTGTTAGGAGAACAGGGTAGGGGTAAAGAAGGAACATAGAAAAAGAAAAAGAGAGAAGGATGTGAGTGAGAGGGAAGGCTAGGAAAACGGGAGAGGAATTGGGGATAAGAAATAGACGGGGGATGGAGAGATAGAGAAGAGGTTAATAGTGAGAAAGATAATGAGAAATAAGAGAGAAATGGGGTTAATGAAGGGAAGAGGAACGGTGAAAATGAGAAGTACAAAAGCTATGGTAAGGAGATTAGGAATAATAGGTTCATGTTGTAAGAATGATGATGATATGTGTGTATAGGCGGGCTGGTCACTGCAACGCTACCCACCCTCAGAGGCAAGACAGGGTGAAGAAGGTGAAGAAGGTGGATGAGAGACAAGGTGAGGAAAAAGAAAACAATAAAGAATAAATGATGAGAAGAAAATTACAAAGGAGTGTAATTTTTCCATAGGTTCAAGAAATTATTAACTTTGTCACGGAAGAGCGTCACTACAAACAAATGCAAGCGAACGTTTGACTGACATACTATCCCTAAGTATCATTTGTGGGTTGGAGGGTGGCAGAACATTCCTTGGTTTCTGCAGGCGTGTCACTCTGGGTTGGAGGGGAACACCAAGCACTGAATCATGCTCGCGCTGACGTTGTTTTTATTACGAGTGATCCAAGGATAAAGAGGCTGGGGGAAGAGGTGTCTTAATATGGCTAAGACCAAGATTAATTATCCACGAAGAGGAGCTGCGGTGGGGAGGGTACGTCAGGAGTGATGGGGACTGAGTGATATCCTGTGATGCATGAAAGACAATTATTTGTCTATTGTTTACATGTACAAGAAATCACGACACAATAATGTACTCTACCTTGGTTGTTGACGTCAATAACATTAATGTATATTTTTACTTTGCATGCATACGAGTTTTATGTGACAATAACACACAACAATACAGGGTGATGTGTGTGCATTACATTATTGCGAAATCTTTGTTACCTGCATTAATATATGTACCTGTATGTGTATTTAATTACATAGCGATAAAATACACATTGATCCTTAACCCTTTGAGTCCCGAAGGGTTAAATCATCATCGTAAACGGGTTAAGACTAAAGAATACTACATTAATTCGAAATATTGGTACCTCCACTGTCGTTGCTGTTGGTTTAATACTGCGAAATGAAATAACGAAGGCGAGGGAGAATGGTGAGATTAGTGGTATGTAAAGGAGTCTTGTGGTGACCCGGGGAAAACATCTTGGGATCTCATGGCGGAATCTTGGATCAGGTGGGATTACTGGTGGGATGAGGGGTATGGATGAGGTTGCTTGGGAGGTAGAGAAGGAAGAGGGAGAAGAAGAGAAGAAGGTATTTGGAGAGGGGGAGAATAAAAATGACGACATGTTGAGATGCATAACCGAAAGCGAGCGATAAGGAATTACCGAGGCAAGAAATGTGGAACTTCGTAGAGAAGAAAGAAGGATTTATACAAGGAAGAACAGAGTCACATAAAGAAGAGAGGAGACAGAAGAAGGAAGAAAGGGGTCACATTAGGAAGAAAGGAGTCACATGAGAAAAAAACAAGAGTTACATAAGGAAGAAAAGAGTCACATAAGGAAGAACCACACAAGAAAAGGGGGAGCCACAAAAGGAAATAGGTCGCATAAGGAAAAAAAAGAGTCACATCAGGAAGAAAGGCATCACTCAAGGAAAAAGGAAGAAATCTCACGAGGAGGCAAGTAGGCGTTACACATCAGGGGCGAAATGAGGAGAGCAGTAAGAGGATGTGCATAGCTCCAAGAGGCATCAACAGCGTGTTTTATAACCCCTCCGATCACAGGAAAACTCAATTCCACTTCAATATTCTAAAGAGAGAGAGAGAGAGAGAGAGGAATTTCGCTACATACAAAAAAGCTTCCATTCTTTGATAATCATACTCACAAAAAAAAAAACTTTATGCACTTTGTAGCTTCGACCTTCAACAGGGAAATACAGCACGGGGTTTAAAATTCATAGAACCAAATAAGAAAGTGATATTGGTAAAAGGAAAGGAAATATTTACTTGGTGGAAGCTGGTTGTATTTCTTTTTTTTATTTTTTGTTTCGACTCTAAAGTATGTCTATGGGTATATATTTATGTGTATATTAGTAACACTCATTAAAAAAAAAATATATATATATATATGTCTTGGCGATTTTGTGTGAGACACTGTGGCAACGGACGAAGGATTTTGACAACCCTACCGAGACAACAGGAGACGCAGTGTTCATTTTGAAATTCATTAGACCTTACCATATAGATACTTTTTGGATTGAGTGTACCTACAGTGTTTATATGTATGTGTGTGTGTGTGTGTGTGTTAAGATATACTTGCATTCGTGTATTTTTGTATGCATTCCTCTATGTGACGATTATATTCAATGTAGTCGTGTTACTTTATATATAATATAAAATATGACCGAGGCAATTTGAAATAATTATATGAAAGCGTCACCCAGAAGGGGGGAAAATCAAAGGTTTAAGGTGAGGTTTACTGAGTATAAAAGAGACACTCCAAGTATATATTAACAACAAAAACATATGAAAAGGGAAGTAGGGTAATCTTAACATTGATGTAATAATAATAATAAAAATAATAATAATAATAATAACAATAATAATAATAATTATAAAAATTATTTAACAAACATTGAATATTACACTCCTATAGTTACCACTGCTATTATTATTATTATTATTATTATTATTATTATTATTATTATTATTATTACCTGGTGTCATGTTGTAGTAGTAATGTGTAGTGATGATAAAAGTAGTAGTGGTATCAGTAGTAGCATAAAACTTACTTAAGAGAGAGAAAATATTAAACTAACTCTCCCTGCAGTGAACGACAATCACTGCAAGATACTATCATGGCCAAAGAGGAAAAGTCGCCAGAGTTCACTTGTAAAACTTTCTCCCAGGCAGTTTTATAAGAGTAAGAGTGTGTCCCTTGTAACGAGATGTAAAAATGGTGAGACTTTCTTCGCTTTCTCTTTTACTCTCTCTATATCTGTTATTTTCTCCGCTTTTTCTTAAATCAATCCCTCTCTCTCTCTCTCTCTCTCTCTCCCTGAAAAATATGTTTCTCTATTTTATTTTAATACTCAATTTCTCTCACTATCGTTTCTTTTATCTTCTCTTCCCTTTCTTTTACTTTCTCTCATTTTATTTCCCTCTTTCACTCTTATTTCCTTTCTCCTTCGCTCTCCCTTTCTCTCTCTCTCTTTCCCTTCCCACTCCGCTCTCCCTGTGCATATGTATGTATGTATGTATGTATGTTTGTATGTATGTTTGTATGTATGTATGTAACGAGAGACAGTCTGCATCTATTTGTGTTTTAGAGAGAGAGAGAGAGAGAGAGAGAGAGAGAGAGAGAGAGAGACTACATATGTACCTGTATTTAGAGAGACTCAACCTACCGTGTATTCAGAGAGACAACCTGATTAATCCATATGTGTTAAGAGATAGAGACTGAACCTATCATGTTGAGAGAGACAGTGTGTACCATCTCTCTTATACCACTATCTAAATCTACCTGTAAAAAACGCTATTTACCTGTATATATTAAATTGGTGTTTCATATTTATTAAAGCAAACTGAAAATAATAATTACTTTACCCTCTAAGAGAGTCTTTTTTTATAGTAGCAATGTAAGAATATTAATAGTAAATGTAGTAAACTCAGTAGTAATAGTAGTCTTAATAGTATATGTGTTTATTTTAGTATTAATAGTAGCATACGTAGAAGTAGAGGTAGTAGTAGAACGTGAAGGAGAAGTAGTTGTCTGTGTTGGTTACTCACTTTATGAAGGAATTAAATCATCTAAGCCAACCAAGTCTTTGTTACAAGCTGATCACGACCTTCAATCACCCCCCCCCGCCCCCCACCACCAAGCCAACAAGAGATCACAACA